TGTAGAATCACAGGACAACTATGGAGATTGTTTTTGAACCTCAGAGGAATAGGCATGCTCGAATAGCATGGAGCATGCCTGGGAAAATTACAGAGGCCTTAACAAGCTGGGAACATGCTGGGTTGTTGGCCAAGAATAGAGGCAGGTGGAGGATAGTCCCAGCAAGCATTTGGTGGACAATATGGAAGGAGTGGAATTCTAGGTGTTTTGAGAGCATAGAGAACAGTATGCAACAGATTAAAGCTTAATTGCATCTTGCTACTGTGTTTTTGGTGTAATAAGTTACTTTTAAATGATCCTGTCTCTATCATTGATGTTTTAGACTCATTATAGACATAGGATCATAGAATCATAGATGTAGGTAGTACTTTGTAAATATGGGGCTGCTACAACTCTTGTAAGATTCGGATTCTAACATATTTAGACAAAGTTACCAGTTTCAAAAAAAAAGATTTAGTGGGGGAAGTAGATAGTCTAGTGGAATTTATTGGCCAATTGTAAATTTTTGAAAGTTTGTTTTGGATTTTGAGAAAGATGGCACCCCCTGGGGGTTTGTAAATCCCCCCTCATCAGTTTCTTGATGAGTCCTTTTGTGTGAATACAAAGTTACCTATTTCAAAAAAAAGTTAATGCAGTAATTTTCAGTATAATATGTTGCTTAATTTTAGGATAATTTGAATTTTAAATTTCTATTAGATAATTAGTTTGTTGAGGTATTTTAGTTTGTTTTGAATTTTAAATTATGCAGATTTTGTCTTTAAAGTTGGCTATTTAAAGCCCTCTTGTGATTAATAGAATTATATAGAGAGACATTTTCAATCCCTTTTTGCTGTCGCATCTTTAAAAACCAACAATGTTGCTAGAGATTGAAGAGGGAATGGTGTTAGAATTGTGTATTAGGTGAAGAAATAAGTAATCCATGGAGATAACTTACCTTGATGTTGTTGGACTTGTAAGAGAGGAGAGTGAAAAATAAGTTTGGAACGTCCAAAAATGAAAGAAAATGAAGTGAGAATTGAGTTTTATAACATCTGGACGAGCCCATCTGCGGAGCAATACGCTGGCCACATATTGGGGTATGCAGCCGCATATGCAACACACTTCCTAACAGAATGTTGGGAAATTTTGGGCAAATATGTGCTTGAAAATGTGGCCCTCATATCAGAATATGAGGCGGCATATCACATTATGCGGAATGCATATCTGCCCAACATACTGCTCTACAATCTTCAGTAAAATGATCATAACATTTTGCCCCAAACACTAATTGATGAACCGTTTGATTTGTCGGAAAGAAGACTCATAGAGCTTTAATTTGATTGTTAGAACACCCTCTAATTTCTTGTAGATTGGGAGATACACTCGTTTGAAGTCAGACCATGTACGAGATCATTGGAAACAAACGACCGTAGTGCACCTTTCAACTTGATCTTTTGTGCTAAGGTTCTCCTTGACCTTTAACCTTATTTTAACACTTCAAATAGCTTCATATATTGGTTCCTTGATGTATTTAGCCACTTATCATGTTCTCTCGAGCTCGAAACAATTCATTGGCGTATGACTAGTTGTACTTTGGCATAGAGATACAGGGTGTTACACTAGCATTTGTTCTTATGATTTGTATGATGAATGTAAAACAACTAAATACCAGCAGTTGTAGGTATTGGGTCAGTTTTTCACTGTTGGATATGTGCAAGGAAGAACATTGTATCAAATGGACACTGGGCAGATTCCTTATGGACCATTCAGCACTTGGTTTAGGTAGTCTGAGGTCACCTTCTCATGTCAAGTATAAGCACCTGATCATACTAACAACAACAGCAACATACCCAGTGTAGTCCAAATATAAGCACCTGATCATGGGACTGTTTCTGTCATGTGCCAGAAACATGTTGAAAGCGCAACCGGTTAGATGTTGTGGATCCAACACAGTTTTCCTCTCAAATCTCTTACTGCACACCTGTAACGGATTTAAGTGTGTTGCAAGTGTATGTCATTGTTATTCTAATGCTATTGAGAGGTTTGAAATACTATTTGGTCTGGTAATATTTTAGAAATGGTGTAGCACTAGAGATAAAAAATTAAGTTTTAGATTTCATAATATTTGATGGAGGGAAATGTGTGTTAAGTGGAATAGATTGGCAATGCAATTGAGAAGTTTGGGATACTAAACTTTGGCATGAGGTGTATAGAAAGTGCCAAAGATGAAAATCTTAACTGTTTGGATTCTTTGCATATTCTACTTTTATATTACAAGGTTACTGGATTCTGTTTAAACATTAACAAGTTGCTACAGAAAGAGAAGTCTAAGCAGTGATATTTTCCCAAGACAAAGAGAAGGATAGCCTAGTGGAAATGGCTTTCCAATTCCAACCATGAGATTTAGAGTTTGGGTCACCAATGGGGAGTAAATTGGGAAAATTACACTGTTTGGCTTCTGGCTAGTGGGGTTTACCATAGCAATAAATGAAACAGTGATTTTTGCTGCACTGGAATACCCATGACATTACATTTTTACCACTCATCTAATAGCCGGCTTTGAAATACATGGTACATCTCAGCAGATTTAATCTCTCTGCAGTGGTTTTATTGGATACATATTTCTATTATGAAGTGTTCTCGACTTCGTGGCTCTTCTATTTAATCCACACATTAAGAATACTATGTCAAATACGAACAAAGAGACTTCTGGCCTATAAGCCTAATAGGCAACATTTACAAGATAATTGCAAAAGTCTTGACTAGGAGGCTGAAGAGGGTGATGGAAAAATTAGTTGCTTACCAACAAATGGCATTCATAAAATGGAAGGCAAATAATGGATGCGATACTAATAGCCAATGAAGCAGTAGACTCAAGACAGAAACAGGAGAAGCCTGGCAGAAAGCGTTTGGCCATGTGATCTGGAACTTCTTACTAAACATGTTACAACAAATGGGATTTAAAGTGCGATGTATTAAATGGCTGAGATTCTGCACATCTATTGTCAGATTCTCAGTCATCATCGATGGTTCTCTGGAAGGATTCTTTCTTGCTCAGATACTGACAGGGTGACCCCCTGTTACCTTTATTTTCATATTAGCCATGGCAGGTTTGAACAGCATGGTCAAAACAACCAAACTTAATGGTTGGATTAAAGGCTTTGAGGTAGCCATGAATGAACAAAACAATCAGGAGATTACACATCTTCAATATGTTGATGACACCTTGATCTTCTGTGATGCAGAAGTTGAACAATTGATAATATTGAGAATTATAATGGTTCTCTTTGAAAGCATTTCTGGGCTGCATATTAATTGAAGAAAGAGGCATCTTTCCCCAATTAATGAAGTATCAAATGTGAAGTGTTTGACACTGATCCTGGGGGGAGAGATGGGGACTCTTCCCACTACTATCTAGGCATGCAGCTGGGGGCCAAGTGAAGAACTACTGGAATATGGAACATTGTCCGGGAGAAATGTGAGAAAAAGCTCTCAAGATGGAAGTGCCAATATTCTGTATTAGACTCTCTGCCAACCTATATGATGTCCCTTTCTATCATTCCTGTGGGAGTCGTTGGACAGCATAAGAAGGAACTCTCTGTGGCAAGGTAAAAAAGAAAAAAAGGTCTACCACCTGGTTAAGTGGCAAGAGGTAATTCTCAGCAAGGCTCAAGGTGGATTGGTATTAGAAACTTGAAGAATCACAGGAAATCCCTCAAATTGTAGTTATGGAGGTACTCTCAAGATCCTCAGTTTATGGAGCATGGTGATTAAAGCCATATATGAGATAGAAGACAACTGGATCACTAAACCAATCAACTCAACTTATGGAGTTAGTCTTTGGAGGTCTAAGGGTATTATGGCCTGGTCTGAAAAACCAAGTCTCTATCAGAGTGCTAAATGGTAGACTTACTTCCTTTTGGAATGATAATTGGCTGAGGAATGGAGCTCTGAAAGATTTATTCTGTCATATCTAACTCATCACCAACAGAGATTCATAGCTGAAATGTGGTCACATCAAGGTTGGGAACTGATACTTAGAAGAGACTTGAATGAATGGTTCATGAATAGAATGATTGAGTTCTACAAACAACTGGATAGTTTCCACTTTCCAGGAACTTAGAATGGAGACGACACTCTGAGATGGCAAGGACATAGTAGTGGAAAATTCAGTGTTAGTGTAGCCTACAAAATGATAAACCAACGAAGAACTCAAGTCACCAACTGGCCCTGGAAACATATTTGGAAGACCCAGATACCATACAAAGTTGCACGCTTCTTATGGTTATTGGCAAAAGAAGTTGTGCTCACACATGGAAATTTAAGCAACAAGAAGAAGTGGACTCGCTGCTCAAGATGTTTTCTTTTTGAAAAAGAAGTGGACATAGTTAAGTCACCTATTCTTGCACTGTAGGAAAACTAATCAGTTATGTAAGATTTTCACTATTATCAGAGGCATAGCCTGGACAATGCCTAGAAAGATTACTTAAGCCCTCTTTTGGAGTTGCTCACATGGTCCCTGCTTGCATTTGGTGGGAAATTTGGAAAGGAAGTGACTCTAGATGCTTAGAGAACAGTAGCCACTCAGTGCAGAAGATCAAACTATAGCTGTATTAAGCTCTTCTGTTTTTGGTGCAACCAAATCTACCCTGAGAATACCATATTTATCCTAGACACATTAGATTCCTGTTAGAGCAGTAGAATGGTTTTGCTCTCTTTGTCTCACTTGTATATATGGTTTCAGTACAACCCATGTACTGGTTTGTGTCTGATACATACATGTTACCTTCTCAAAAAACAATAAACAATAAAATTGAACGAAATATTCTCCTAAGCTGACTGGCTCTGTTAATACATTTCTTCTAGTTTTATAATCAGCTGTAAGAGTTGACAGTGGAGTGTTTTTTCCTCATTATATGCATTGTTAGTTGCCAGACGTCCATACTATTGATTGTGAGTTAATGTTCCGTGGAATCTTTTTAGATTTTGGAGTGCCCTACATGCTTTATGGTTTTCATCAGGTTGCTCCATACAATACTTTTTACCCTCAACTGGAGGAGCACCTAAATGGAGTTGGTATCGACCCAGCCATCAACAAATGGCATGAACCCATGGCTCTTGGTGTTGTTGATCCCCATGATTCACTGTCACATCCTGCAGGTGTCTCTGATGTGCAGACTGAATCTGCCAGCCGTGTAGACCCTGATCAGTTCATTAACTTTCTGGTATGTTTGGACAAACTAGAGACAAGTTCATGTTGAGTTTCATTTTCCAATTCCCATAGTATTGCTTCCATTTCCGTTCGTGTTTCCCTGTTGTTAGTTTGGCGAAACTGAGCTCCCTATTCTCTCGAGAAAAAAAGGTTTGCTGAAATCTGTTGCTCTGATGATTATATTCTTATTAAATTGCTTTTACTTGCTAATATGGAAATATCTCCATGTCACAGATTCCGAATTGGTCTGAAGGTAAGCAATCTGGGTCAACAAAAGACAATCCATTCCCTTTACCTGATGCTTTCCTGGCATCAAAGCAGAGAAATGTATGATGAAAAACTAACTCCTATTTTCTTATTGAAATAATTTATAATGTGTGTTTACTATGGCATCATTGTTCTTATATCTTCACTAAAGTCCATTCCATGTTCTAATGGTTTAGTTGAATTTTCAAACTTTTGCCAAATTACCATTTGTATTTGTCCTTCCAGCATAAAAACTTGGAAGGTCTTAAGCAGATTTTGCAGGAAGCTGACCTTGAAGAGAGCCGGAAAAAGGAATTAACAACAGCTCTTCATGGGTGCTTTAAAGACTGGTTATATGGTAATTGTGATAGATTAATCATCTATGTAATGGAAACTAGTTTGCACCTTCTCTCTCACCTGTTCTCCCATGATTTGACAGCTTCAGGAAATATACGACAATTGTACTTTCTTCAAAATGATTAGAGTTCTACATAGATCATAATGCAGTGTTGCAAGGAGTAGCAGAAACACTTGACTTTTCCTGTAGATTTCAGTTTCAGCCATGGAAGTTCCTCTTTTGCCATTTCTTTTGGAGGCAGCTGGGAGTTTAATGCTATTGCCTGTGCAGCTATGAACAAGTTCACACTGTTGTAACTGTTGTGCAGATTTTAGTTAGAATGGCTTCTGTGTTGTATTCTTTCAAGCAAAATACATTTTTCATGTACTAATACAGTAGCTTGTATTTTTATTTTTTTTAAAAATAATTAGGTTCTTAATTTCTCCCGAGTTACTCTGTTATGAAATTTAGCAGTAGTTTGCTTTGGCTGTTGGGGTTCCTGTATACAATTAAGAAGTGCTGAAGTGAAGCCAATATTTTGTAGAAGTAGTCGCAATCAATGTGAATTCTAAATGCAGTTGTGTTTATGTTCAATCTTTGTTTTCATGGAACTTGCATTTGTTCCCCTCCCCTGAGTGGCTTATGATTATTCTTGACTTTAGGTTGCTAATTGCTATAGCATTTAATATTTGCTGTTGTGCATCTCTTGTGTTATCCATTGATGAGATGCACAGGTCAACTCAATAACAAGGTGGAGAGTGAATTCTATGACTATTATAACCTAATTCGTTTTTGAAGGTGAAACTTACATTCTGCTTGTGATATCTAAAATTCTTATCTTGATACATCTATATCTATATCTATATCTATATCTCTATCTATTTACACTCACAAACTTGAATGTTGAATTACTATAATACCCCAATTAAAAATACTCAATTTATTTTATTTATTAATTTAATTAATTTTATTATATTGAAAGTAGATACCTTTTCATATTAAATGATTGTAACTTCTTGAATGAGTTGTGACTTTTTCAAAGGATTGTGACAATTTCAATGAGTTGTGACTTTTTCGAAGGGTTGTGACTTTTCTAAAGGATTGTGCCTTTTCTGATGAGTTGTGCCTTTTTAAAAGGGTTGTGAGTGACTTTTTTGATAAATAGTGATTTTTTCGAAAGGTTGTGACTTTTTGGATAAGGCACAATTAACACCTATTCATACTATTATTTGGTAGATATAAATAGTGGGTTTTCCTCACACTTTTAAACTACAATTTCTTTAAGTTCTCTACTCTTCTTCTTAAAAAATCTCAAGTGTTATTTGCAAAAATTGATTAAGTTCGAAACTCAATGAAATTCGAGGTACCTCATAAGAAAGAGTTGATGAATAAATTGTAGCAAATCATGCATCAATTCTCACACTCGTATTTTTTCCTTACGATTTTCATGAGTTAACAATGACAAAAAGTTGTGGGAGAGATAATAATATTAAACAGATATGAAAAATGATTTGGGTAAGATAGTTCTTCTTTGTTTTTTTATTTTTTATTCTTTTACCCTCAGATGAAGGAGTTTCTTCCTAATTTTGCTAAAACAATGGGAATCAATGTAGTCCTTTAAATTAATAGTTTTGATGTTAAATTCACTATTTCAAAAATAGATTTTCACTTTTACTTATAATATGATAATATAGGAATGATAATAATAATTTTTTAATAGATGTGTATGTAAAAATGAACGGAGAAAGCAAAGTGTTGGTGGCAAGATTTTAAATCAAATGGAACACTAGAGTGAATATAGCATGAACATATATTTTTGTCTTCGTTCTTCATTGGCTATATATTGTTCCATATAATTTTTCTTTATGTCACAAGATACACTCCGTACTAGCTATATAAAAATAGATAAGAAAACAGTGATTGCTCATAAAATGATCTTAAATAAAATTATTGATTCTATAAATAATACTTTAAATTTTATTCATCTATTAATTTTTATTATTGAAAAATTTAAATATTTTATATCATGATATAACTTCTACAAGATACTAGATACTTTCATTAGACAACAAATATATGATATGTATGCGGTAGAAAAAATGAGAAGACTACAATTCCACAAAGATAAGGTAGAAACTTAATGAAATGAAATATTTTTCACCATAGGTGATGTTGTTCATATATTAAAGTTAAAATATCTATTGAAGTCTATATATCTAAAACAAAGAATTGGTCAAGCTAAATATTTGACATACGCTCAAACTTGTATTTAACCATCATTCAAGATAATAACAAAGTACATTTTTTTGGTAAAATTACCTCTCTATGATAGACTTGCTTAAATATTAATTGAGTAATAATATTTTGCAAAAGATATATTACATATAAAGATAAAATATTGAAATACTTATGGTAATCCTTATTAGTGTCATGCACATACTAAATTTCAAGTATGAATATTTAAGACAAAATTTGTACTTAAATGGTTTACATCATTTATGTTCATAACCTCAAGCTGAAAGTCTATTGGTGACATTTTTTGAATGGATATTTTTTTTCCGATTTTGTTGGTTAGATTTTGTTTACAAAATTGAGGGAAGTAAGAAATACTACTACTAAAGAAATGTAACTTTCTCCCATATTTAAACTTTGAATGTATTTTAAAATGTTTTAATGACATTTGGTCATTTTGATCTCAAAATACAAGTAACTCTATGACATTATGTATTTATCATTTAAAAACACTTGTCCTATGTTCGTTCAATTATAATTATTTACTAAAAAGTTATAATTTAGTAATATTAATTATATTTTACAACATCATATACTATATATACGATACACACATGCCGTGAAACTAGTTTATAACTAAGTGTGTCAAGAACCAACTATGCATTATTATGGTTACCTTTGTGGATTTCATTCGTACCAGGTTACACATAAGTTGTCAAAACTCCGTTTTTATTACCTAGCTTTTAAGTGAGAAAATCAAGAGTAGATGTCAAATTTACAAATAGATCTGAAGGATGAAATTGATATCTGTATTTAGATGTTCTCTTGCTTAGTAATTTTTTTATAGCTTTAGGAATATTTTATTGATGCGTTGAGGGTAATTTTGGCATCTTAAAAATCAAAATAGTTGTTATTACATTAGTGGTATATCATTTCATTATGGTATCTTAAAAATCAAAATAGTTTTTTTAACATTAGTGGTATATCTTGTTATATCTTTTAAACTCATAATATTATTTGTGAAAAAGAATAATGTTTAAATGGAGGATTGTATAGTTGTGGAAAAAGTAAATTTGTATTATCTTAAATATCTTGGGGGGCAGGGATGGGAAGAAACTATCTAGAGAATTGAATAAAATGTGTCAAATAAGTCTTGATTTTATTTGTGGTGACACTTTGATCAAGAAAGGGTCAAACCCACTTTAAAATGTAATTACGTTAATTTGGGATCAAATTAATATTTTCAAAACTTTTTAATCTTTTATAAAATACAAAAAAACACTACATTTTTCAACTACTCTAATTCTAACAAAACATTTAAAAAAAGGGAAAAAGCTAAAAGAAAATAGGATTCAAAAGTTTTTCTTCTCCTCTCCAATGTTCTTCTCTTCTTCTTCTTCCTTAGAAAATCCGACCATCAACAAAAATTCTCGTTCTCTTCCTCCTCATCTCCGGCCTTCACTCTCTCTTTCTGAACTAAATGCCGTCTTCGATTGTCACTCTTCTTAAAATGGGTCACTCGTTTTTATTTTTGAAAGAGTTTAGAATTTTCGAACAACAAACTCTTGATACTTAGTTCTTTTCTTGGGTTATTGAACAAGAAATCGTTCTATAGATGTGAAAATTGAATAATGGTGTAATGATACCTATTATTTCTTGTTTTTGATAGAAAATAAAAAAACTCAAAAAAAATTCTAATTTTGAGGAAATATATATGTATTGTTGTGGTTCAGTGAAAAGTCATTTTTTGTTGCTTTTGTTCTTCTTTTTGTGACCATTTTGTCCATATGATTGTAGAAATATAGTTTGTTCCGTTGTACAATATATATTTCATTGTTGAAAGAAGTGTCGTATGTTGCAACATATTAGTAACATGTTACTCACATGTTGAAACAGAAGATTCATCTATGGCAACATGTGTCAACAAAAGGTTCATTTATGGCAACAGAAGATTCATTTGTGTCAACAAAAAGTATAAATTGATATCTGTGGCAACATATATAGCCTTTGTTGTAAAAAATCACACAATTATCTGCATGTGCCCCAACATAAAGGCGATATGTGGCAACATATGTCACTTTGAATTGGCATGTGTTGTAACTTGCCAAAATTTAAAAAAGTTAAAAAGAAAGAAATTATAGTCATCTATATAAAAGACGCTTGGGGATGAACAACGCTTCATATTAAAAAAATCAACTTTTTGTTTCTCTTTCTCCTCTTTCTCTCTCTTCTATTTCATTTCTCTTCTCTCTCTGGTTTCTTCATTATTTCTCCACAGATCCACTTGTTGTTGTGATATTTTCTACAACATAAAGTGTAATTTGTTGCAGTTTCTGTGTCTCTACAGTAGTTCCAACCACGTCATCGTTATCGCTCATTCCTTTTATCGTCGATATCTTCTCAATTAAAATTAAATTAGAATTTTAAAATATTTGCTGATATTAAATTAGGAGGTTTTTAGTGATTAATGGTTGGTTGTTATTCTTTTTTTTGAAATATTATTTGATTTCAAAAGGCTTCAATTTGTAGTTGGTTGGTTAGGGTTTATGGAGGGCTTTGTGGTTGGTTGGTTGGTTCATATGTGGTATTTAATCGTATTTGGAGTTTTGTGAGGGGGTGATGTGTTGTTGTTTTTGTTGATGCGTGTTGTGTTTGGTTGTTATTTTTGTTAAGAAATATTTGATTTTGTGGTTGGTTGTTGACAAATTTTTGTAGATACAAATATAATGCCTCCTGTCAAAAGAAAAATTGTAGTAACAACTGAAATTTTAGTTCTTCTCTTTTACAAGAAATTGCATCCGAAGCAGTTTCTTTTCAAGTAGAATCATTTGTTTCTTCTTCTCAAGTAGAATTAGGAGTTTATCAAGAAGAACTTGAAATTCTCCATGAAGTTGATGAAGAGGAAGAAGGACAAGAATAAAATTGAGGATGATGAAAACAAACAAGATAAAAATGAAGCTGATGAAGAAGAACAAGAAAAAAAATTGAGAATGAGGAAGAAAGACAGGATAAAAATAAAACTAAGGAAGAAGAAAGTGAAGAAAAAATTGAGGATAAGGAACACAGACAAGAAAAAAAAAAGTTGAGGAAGAATAAGGAAAAAAAGAAGTTGAGGAAGAAGAAGAAATAAATGTAGTTGAGGAGGAAGAAGAAATAAAATGAAGTTGAGGATGATGTTGTCAAAACTGTCAATGCACACACTTTTCTTGTGCATTTCCAGCCAAATGCTACTGGTGATAGCATTATAAGGTCAGCCTTGGGAAATTTTTTCGAATCTTTCAGGAAAATACTTCGGGAGAATGATTTGGAGGATTTATTTAGGAATAGTTATTTTGGGCAATATCTTGATTTGCCTCTGAATG